TTGGTTTTGTTTTTATTCTGGGAAGTGTTCTTGACACAGAATCCATGTGGCTCAGGCTAGCTTCAAACTCACTACCTGGAAAGGATGATCTTGAACTGATCCTCCTGCCTCCATCTCCTAAGCGCTGGGTTATAGGCTTGTGCCCGGACACCTGGCTCTACTATCCAAATATATCCAAGACCTGGCTGGACTGCCATCCGTCCCTGCTTCTCTCTTTGATCCAAGCTAATAGCATCTTAACTGCTTTATAACAATAATCTCCCAGCGTGCTTAACTGCTACAAAGAGACGCCTCTGTGAATCGCCACATAACCACCACGGTGATTCTTTTAAAACACAAACCAACCACAACTCTTCAAGGATAGACCTTAGATGGACCACATGATGCTATTACTTTCGCCTTTGGTCCAACTATGCTTGCCTCTGATCGATTCTCCCTCCCCATTTCTATGAGTGTTCTAGTTTGCATGTATCTGTGACCACGGGGGCCAGAAAAGGGAGTCAGGGTCTCTTGTACTGCAGTTACAGATGGTTGTGAGCTTCCATGTGTGTCCACAAAGCCACCTCTCCGGCCCCTGTTAGTTCTTTCTGTTCCCTGCTGTTACAAGCCTCAGCACTTGAGGTTGCCTGTGCCTGGTACACCCCCTCCCCTTCAATGGACATATGGCATAGCATTTAATTTGCTTAATTCCATATGCCAGCCCTCTGGAGGCATTTCTAACGGTCCCATCCAAAAAAATATTCGGTAGAGGGCTCACCTAGTGTGCAGGAAGCCCACAGTTCAATCCCCAGTACTGCATAGAACCAGGTGTGGTGGCACATACATATAGGATCAGTTAAAAGTCATCCCAGACTACAGCAAGTTCAAAGCTTCCTGGACTACAAGAGTGAGACTTTATCAACCCCAAGCCCAAATGAATTTGCTTCTGTTCTTTTACTTTGGCTCTGTGCTATAAAAGCAATGATTTAACTGCTTGATTCTCTGGCTCTTCCTCTAGGAAATTAGGGAAGATACTGTTTTGTTTTGTTTTGTTTTGTTGTTTGTTTGTTTTTTCCTTTTTCTTCATTGCTATATCCTGAAAGATTTGACAAGGCCTAGCACATAGTACCTGGTATTAAAATATTAAGAAACTAAACATGTGAATGAATGAGTTTTGTTATTTTTCAGTGACTGACAAAGTCCTTTGCTACATGAAGTTTTAAAAATGGTTTCTATTTACAGTGACAACCCACGACTCTGGTGCTACTGTGAAGTGCTTGGTGGGCGGAAAACTTTGTGCACAGAAACCACTGTCACTCCAAGACCTGAAGACAGGGCTCAAAGTGCCCAGCAAGTATACGATATGGCATGTGAGCTGAAAGGACCAAGCACGGATTGATCCATGAGCAGAGACTAAAGACAGCAGATGGAAGAAATGAATGCTGAGCAGGCATGCAAATGGAGGGCCGTGAGATTGATTAATATATTGCCCATGCAGATTTTGTTTTAACTTGCCCCCACAGCCATGTAGCCCGAACTGGCCTAGAGCTTTTATAGAAAAGTCCCACCTATGGTTCAATTCACTATTCTTCTGCTATAACGTCACAAATCCTGGGATTATGGGTGTATACGCCCATGCCTGGAGCCCAATAGATATTTATTGACACATGGAAACTGTACATAGTTATGGGGCTCAGTGTGACATTTCAGTACGTGTATACAATGGCTACTGAGGTCAAATCAAAATAATTGGCACGTCTACCATCCCAGAGTTTGTCTTTGTGTTGACAGTATTCCAAGTCCTTTCCACTAGCTACTTTGCAATACCCAGCTGAGCTGGGTGTGTAACTGCCTAGCACTCAGAAAGACCCGCGCCCCATCTCCAGGACTGCAGAGAAGCAAGTGAAATACCAGCGTGGCTCTTTTTTCCTTTCCTCTTTTCCTTCTTTATGAAAGCCAAGGGCCTTATCAATACCAGACATGTACTCTATCACTGAAGGATAGCCAGCGCCCATAACTCTCTTCATGTGTGTAAGGGATCTTTCTGTATTATCAATTATCACTATTACATGTAGTGTGTGTGCGCACATATGCATGTGCAGGCTGTACTACGGTACAGAGATGGGAGCCGGAGGGTAACCCAGGGGTCAAACTCGGGACATCAGACCTGGCAGCGAGTACCTTCACCCACTGTGCCCAGTTTCCTTTCCAAATGCCTCAGCTGATAGCAAGTGCTTTCCTCCCACAGCACTCTCTTTTCCTCCACTAAGGCAGAAGTCCACAGACTGACTCCTCTCTCTCTCTCTCTCTTTTTTTTTTTTTTTTACGAACCCCAGATGGCCCCTTCTTGATTAGGAAAGAAGTTGAAAGAAACCTAAATCTCATAAGCCTCTTTAGAAACAATCTGGAAAACAGTGGTTTGGTTTCTGGCTGTCAGTATTTACTTGCACAAGGTCACACCTGAAAGTAACACAGAACTTGACTTTAGAACAACCTGAATTGGGTCCAATTTTTGCCACTGGTTTAAACGCCACACATTTACTCAGCTGTTACAGGCCTAAATCTCTCTATATCCACCAAATCAGGATATCTTCAGCGTGTTCCACTTGTGACCCCTTTTCTTTGCCTGAGAAACTTTTGCCACCCCAGGTACGTAGGTATGCAAAACAGGTATGTAGGTCAAACATTTACTGATAATAAACCATATTTACTTTAAAACATTTCTTTGAGATTTTACATATATATGAATTATATATGTGAGATTTTACCATTTATTAAAGATGAAAGCAAACTTCTTACTAATGGGCTGGATATGGTTATATCGTTTTACGGCATACATACACACCAGAGTGGGGGATTAAATTGTGGCTGAGCATCTGTTAATGCAAGACGCACAGTATCTTCAACATTTTCCTCAGCTCATGAATACGATTTTTTTTTTTAAATCTTCAGATCTGAAAATGGTACTTCTCTTAAAAACTCAGTACACAGCACTAGAATCTATTTAGGGCCATTTGAGACATTGTTGGAAAATTTGCCCTAATCTCAAGCCAAAATTCATCATACCATTTCTTTTTTAATGAAACTGAAGTCAGCAAATCAAATGGGAACTTCTGAAAGGAAACACTGTAACCTAATAAAATCAGAAATGTACTAATGATACATGCAGAGGGGTGGCTACAGAAAAACAGCAGCTGTTTTCTACAGTTAAACCACGTTTCTACTGGAGCAGACTTTGCATACACTAAAAACTCCGCAGCTCTTTGCACAGGGCAGTCTGGAATCTCGGCGGAGCGGCGGGAGCAGTTTCGCAGACATGTGTGATGGCATGTGATGCACAACGTGTGTGTTGTGTGCTCAGACTCAGGGACGCGGTGAATCTGCAGTGTGACCCAGATATGCTCTGCCAGAAAACCTCAGTTCGCTATCCATTTGCTTTTGAATTCATTTTTGATCACTGCACCTTTACTTTTAAAGATATTTTTAAGTAAATAAGAATTTTTCTGCATGTGTTTATGGGTATTACATAACAGTGTAGATCAGGATTCATACTACCCTGGAGTCCATGGGGAAGACGTAACCTTAAGACTGAGACAGCAGGCCATTTGTGGTGGTTCATGCCTGTAACCCCAGCACTTGGAGAGGCAGAGGCAGGAGGATCTCTGTAAGTTGTCTACAGATGGAGTCCAGGACAGCCGAGGCTACGCAGGAAAACCCTGTCTCAACGAAAAGAAAGAGAGAGAGAGAGAGAGAGAGAGAGAGAGAAGAAGGAGGGAGGAAGGGAAGGAAAGGAAAAGAGAGAAAAAGTAGAACCAGGCAGCTGTAGAGAAAGTCTGAGCCAAGAACCATGTCATGCAGGTCTTCTGGATGCACCTGCTGAATATGGCACAGGAGGGCCTCTGTTTCAGAGTCCAGTGGGTACTTGAGGTGTTGAATCCCCTAGAACTGGAGTTACACATAGTTGTGGGCCACCATGTGGGTGCTGGGAATAAAATCCAGGTCATCTGCAAGAGTAGCCTATGTTCCTAACCACTGATCCATCTCTCTAGCACTAACTGTACATCCAGAAAACTTTCACAGTTGCCTTTTTTCTTTTTGGTACCCCTGACACTCAGTTAGGGGAGGTCCTGTGGAGTTACTATCCACAGTTTAAGACTAGGCAGTCTCCACATTTAAAACCTCACAACTCGGCTTTCCCAGAGTGAAATACGTTCCAAGTAAAACAGCCAGCTTTGGGGGAGTCTAAGGCAGGGAGGTTGGCACAAGTTTGAGGCCAGTCCAGGCTACAGGGTGAGATCCTGCCTCAAACAAAAACAGGAAGGAAGGAAGGAAGGAAGGAAGGAAGGAAGGAAGGAAGGAAGGAAGGAAGGAAGGAAGGAAGGAAGGAAGGAAGGAAGGAAGGAAGGAAGGAAGGAAGGGAGAGAAATCCTCCTGAGTGCCGACTGGACGCTGAAGCAGAGACCCTCCTGTGCCACATTCAGCTGGTGCATCCAGAAGACCTGAATGATATGGTCCCTGGCTCAGCCTTTCTCCACTGCTGCCTCCTCAGACTTAAGGGTACATCTTCCGCGGTGACTGCAAGGTGGTATGAATCCGGAGCTGCACTGTCTGTCACAGAACCACAGTCACACGGGGCAGCCAGCTACAGTTGAGATGTCAGATAAGGTTTCTGAAGACTTGGTAAGAAAAACGATTAAAAAAAAAAAAAAAAAAAAAAACTCTCTCAACTCTTAGTGATTACGTGTTGAGATGACATTTGGGTGGCACTGGAATAAAAGTTACCGAAATGAATTCTAGTTGCTTCTTTTTTCTGTTTGTCAGAGGGCCTACAAGGCGAGTTAAAACTACACGCGTGGCTTGTGGTGCTTTTCCATTGGACAGAGTTGCTCCGGATAAAAGAATCCAGAAGGTGACGAAAACTAGGTGTTTTTTTTGGCGGTGCCAAGGTTGGGGGGGCGGGGGGGACGACAACGAATTTGTACCTAAGAGGACTTCCACTGTGTTACAGCCCCAACACTGACCTTCGAACTTTTGCAGGGCTCTAAAGCAGAGCTGATTCCACCCCGGCTCAGGGGCCATCCAGACCGTCCAAGGCCGGCGGGGGTGGGGTGGGCGGCGGTGGCCTGCCCGCAGTGGGGTCGCTTGGTTTACCTGGGTTTCCGGCGACGCCTGCAGGCCAAGCTGCCGACTCCTCTCTCCTCCCAGGGGCGGTCACAGGTGTCGCCCGCCACTGGCAGCGGCGGGTGCGCGCGGGGAGGGCCGCCTCGTGGGCGCCGCCGGGGACGGCGACGCGCTTCCTGCCGGGAAGGGCCGGATCGCCGCTGCGGCGGTCTATAGCAGTCCCGCCACTGCCTGCTTGGATTTTACCACCGGGGCTGCTTCCGAGTGGAAACTACCGACGCCCCGGACCCTCCGTTCCTCGCGGGGTTCGAGATGAGTCACAGCCCCGTGTCGGGTGTGTGTGGGGGGGGGGGGGGGGGGGGGGGGGGGATGTACGCTTCGAAACGCAAGTCCAGACGGAGCACATTTGTGGTCGCAGCTCTGGAGAGGCGCGGAGGCAGAAGGATGCCAGATCAAGGCCAGCTTGGACTACATCGTGAGACCAAAGAGATAATGTAGAAATAAGTACAAACTGGACAAAAACCCTCGCCCATTACTTCTGTTCAACCGTCTCTATTAAGTTTTTGTAGACTGAAATATCAACATTTGATCCTTCCTTTGATCCAGGTGTGCGTATACAGAGGGGGATAACGTCCCCTGAGGGGTAGAACTGTTGTTGGGTGTGTGTGTAAACAGACAGGGATAATGTCCCTTGAGGGATGTAACTGCTGTTAGGTGTATGTGGTTGTGTGAAAAGGGGATGACGTCCCCCGAGGGGTATAACTATTGAAGCCAAAGAACAGGACTTGTGACAAAGGCAAACGGAATTTCGAACTCACTTATTTGTAAGATAGCATTTCGGTATTGGGAAATTATCAGTTTAATCCCATGTTCATTTAACATGCAAAAGCTGCTTGAATTCCTTGCTAGTGGTTTGTGCATGGCTGAGCACTGAGTCCACGCTCTCCTGCTTGGTTAAAAACACTTCACTACTGAGCTCCACTCGGAGTAAATTACACATACTCCGCAATACCTCTCTTCTCCTCCCCTCTGTTCCTCAGTTTTTGTTGTGTGAGTATATGATGGAGCATGCATTAAGTCAGAGGACAACTTGGCTGGCTCCCTCCTTCCACTATGTGGGTCCCGGGATCAGACTCAAGTCACTGGCCTTGTGGCAGATGCCCCCACCTGCTGAGCGACCTCACCAGTCCCTAAATTTAAAAATTCTCCCAAAGTGTATACAACCTAATTTGTTATAACACTTAACTGAAGATTGCTTAATAAATGCTTGGTACATAAAATTTAGTCGTTCAGTCCCATTTTCATCAAGATTAATTGCTTCCAAAAAAATCTTATTCCTAGCTCCTAGGCAGATAATTATAATTTCCAATTTTTGAAGTTTTATTTTTTTAAAGATTTATTTACTGTGTATACAATGTTCTGTCAGCATGTACACCTGCACACCAGAAGAGGGCACCAGATCTCATTATAAATGGTGTGAGCCACCACGTAGGTGCTGGGAATTGAACTCAGGTCCTCTGGAAGAACAACCAGTGCTCTTAACCTCCACCTCTCCATCCCCATAATTCCCAGTTTTAATCTAGGCAAATATCTGTTCAAGTTTTATGGCTAATGTTGACTTGCAGGAGGATTGATTTTTACCTGGTAGAAAAATTACAGAAAATGTAGAATAGAGAAAATTAAGAGTAATTATTTAAGGACAAATTAAACGTCATAAACAAAACCCATGAGTCCCATCTGCCTCTTGTCAGCATTAGAATCACCAGGAACAGTGTCCAATTGATGCCAATGACAAGCTGCCATTTTCAGAACTGATTTAAAAGTTTAACCAAGAAAGCAAATCTAAGAAAAACTACTTTTTTGGTTGTCGAAGTGCCTTTAATTATACTGTGTAAGTTACAACAATGGAAAGAGAGAGCTGGGAATAGCTCAGTCAGTAGAGCGCTTGCCGTGTAACCAGAGGCCCAGGTGTGATGGTAGCACCCCCGGGGTAGGGGTGAGGAACCGGCAGCTGGAACCCTGAGGTTCACTGGACGGCCACTTAGGCCTAATCGCTGAGGAGTGATACCTGAGATTGTCCTTCAGCAGCCCCAACTCCTCACCCTGCCACATCACTAAAAAAATTAATAACTAAAGAGAGAGGAAGGAATTTAAGTCTTACCTTAAAGAAAGTGGGAAACTGGGGGCCAAGGGTGTGGCTCAACTGTAGCATGCTAAGTAAGCATGCACAGGACCCTGGATCAAACCACAGTATCACCAGGTGTGGGGACACATAACCTTTAGTACCAGCGAGGCAGGGGATCTCTAGGAATTCAAGGCCAGGCTGGTCTAGATAGTTCCTGGTCAAACAGGGCTACCTAGAGATCCTGTCTCAAAGAAAAGCAACAATAAAACAAACACCAGTTCTGCTAGTAGGGAATAAAGGAGGACACGCTGCCACGTCACTGGCATGAAGAGCATTGGCTTCTAATTTTTCAAGATACACTGATCTTACAGATTTGTTGACGCCGAGGCTGTCAACCTGCTTACCACCACAGCAACTGACTGACACTGACAGTCCACTGGCTGACAGGCCACCAAAGGCTTAATGGCATCCTGACAGGTAAGTAACCCACTCACTCTCTTCCTTATTCAAACATCACAATGCAATGAAGTGGGGAAAACATTGTTAGAATAAACTTCAGTGCCACCTAATCCTATAGCCAACCCTATAACCTACAGATATAAGCACCTTACTAGTTATCTGTAAAGGCCCTCAGACATGACACACCAGTCATGGCTGAAAATGGCGCTATAACCCCACCACCAGCAGCAGCAGCTGCTGTGGGAAAGAACCATTGCTGTTCTCACTGCTGAGAAGTGACATAAGCCATGCTTCCTTCAGGAACAGGCTCAGAATGGCCAGGAAAGAATAAAGGGCACCCACGGGTCAGAAGGGGAGGCTACAGGCAGCAAGGATGCCAGGCTGTGCAAGCTTGTAGCCCTGGTGTCTCAAAAGGGACAGGCCCTCCCTTAACGCAAAAGCAGCCCTGGAAAGTGTTGATTCACTCCTAGGGCCACACAGAGTGATTTTTAAAGTATTTATTTACCCTCTAGCTTCATCTAATCCTATTTGAAGCATGGAAATGATGGGCTCACTGCCACAGACCAGCAAGTGAGAGAGGTTTCGTTATTCTTAGTGAAACCTTATTCTGGTCCAGGGGCTTCGGAGAAATTCTAATCTGTCACCTGGTGTCAGCATACTCTCAGCAGATGTTTATTCCAATGAAGCACTCTACCCACAAATGCCTAGTGTGCCCGACTTTATTTCTGTTACTCCTGTCTACAAGTCCTTATTTTTCAATAACATCAATGCATCTTGCTATCCATTCTCTCCACTCCTTAAAGGCTTCCACAGGTTTCTCCAAATTCACATGGTCAGAACTATTTTTCAAAGCTGCTCTTGATGCATCGCTGGAGTCCTCATCAATCCACCTCACCAGTGCCTTGAAAAACACAAACACTGCATTTTAACAACAGGGCTACACAGAGAAACCTTGTCTCAAAACAAAACAAAACTAGTACAGGAAAACGATCTCAGGCAGAAGATAATTGACACTGGAGTCAGGTTTTCTAAATCTGCGGTTTGTGTCCCCCATGAAGAGGCTGCATTTGGAGGAGTGGATTATGAGTACAAGACATGAGTGACACCCAGCGAAACAGCACAGACCAAAACCAGAGGACAGAAACGATGGACCAAAGTGTACAAGAGCTGGGTTCCTCGAGTCCATTAGCCTAACAATCAAAAAGGACAAGCCAGGAGGACTGCTACAAGTTCATAGCTAACCTTGAGTTACATAGTGAATGCCATACTGGCTTGTATGAAACCCCACCCTACCTCAAAAAATAAAAAAAAATAAAGACCTATACTAATTCTTAGACATTTTAGGATGACAAGAAGATAATTATAATTTCTTTTCTCAATTTGCTTAATACCCCTAAGGCACTGTATTGTGCTTTTGGCATAATGTGTATGTACACATAAACACAGATGCCCAAAGGCAAGGGCAGACCTAAGTATGTGAAGACATGGATGGAGGCAGTCAGGTGCTACTCCTGTATGAGCAGGCAGACCGTCAGTAACGGGGATGTATACTGACACGTGTGCATAAGGACAGCAGGAGTCTTCTCTCCTCCTCCTCAAAGACACCCACTCTTTTCTAACAGACTCCTGTCAGTACCTACTAGGCAAAATACAGCCACAGTTGCAGGCTTATGTAAACGAACTCTGCCACACAAATCAGTACATATTCTGCTCTGTAGAGTCAATGCCTCTTGACCTAACTGGACAAGAGACAGAGAAATTTCTTTTCCTGTTTTTCATTGAACTGTAAGACAGACCCTATCCAGAATGGAGAGGTGGTTTGGTAGTTAAGAGCACTTACTGCTCTATCAGAGGACCTGAGTTTCGGCCCCAGCACCTACATCAGGTGATTCACAAATGCTTGTAACTTCACACAGACAAATCTTTTTTTTAAGGCAGTCACTGTCAGATGGAAGCTTCTTTCTTATCTTTAAAAATGTTCTGTCTACAACACCACATGTATGTCTGGGGCCCTCTTGAGTTCATGAGGATGTTGGATCCCTTGGAACTGGAATCATATGTGATTGTAAGCCACCATATGGATGCTGGGAGCCAAACTCAGGTCCTCTGCAAGAGCAGCAGGCACTCGTAACGGGTGCACCAACGCTTCAGCCCCAAAATGAAGTTTCTTTTTTGTTCCTTTTGAAATGGGGTCTCAACTTAGAGCCCAGGCTGTCCTAAACTCATGTGCAACCCAGGCTGGCTTCAAATTAAGGACAATCCTTCTTCCTCAGCTTCCTGAGTGTTGGGATTAAAGGTGTGAGAGAGCTTTTTATTTACATTGCTGAGAGGGAGGGATGTGTGCCATGGCGTGAGTGTAGAGGTCAAAGGACAATTTGCAGAAGTCAGTTTTCTCCTTCCACTGAGAGCTCCAGGGATTTGAATCCTGTTTTCGCACTGTGGGGGCTGTGGGTTGGGGGACGAGCACCTTTAGTGACAGAGTTGTCTTCTCCACCCTAAATTGAAGGATTTAAAAGGGGTATTTCTCTGCATGTTTTGTTTTGTTTCTGGTTTGTTTGTTTTTAAGATAGTATGTGTGTTCGATGTGTAGGCCCAAGGTTGACCTCAGGTGTTTGCTTTCCTTATACAATGAAGCAGGGTTTTTGTCTCTGGAACCAAAGCTGGCTGGTCTGGCTAGCCAGTCTGCTTCTGGGAATCTCTCTCTCCATATCCCATGCACCAGGATTATAGAGGAGCACTTACATGGATCCTAGGGACCCACAATCTGGTCCTCATGCTTTCGTGGGAAGGCAGCAAGCCGTCTTGCCTGTCCTCTTTACATTTTTTTAAACCACAGTTTCCTGCTTATCTTTACCTGATTTCCTCTGATAAATCATAGCTCTCGAAGACCTAACAGAAACCCCCGTTTGCGACTTCCCACTTCCCCCATCTTTGCACCCGTCCCACTTACTTTGTATCTCTCTACAATATTGAAGCCGATAGCATACTGCAGCTTGCGTAAGCAGATAGGGCAAAGGTTTAGAGGGCGCCGGTCAGACTCCTCCAAGTGATTGGAGCCTTGCATCAAGCACGCAAGCCACTGGCAGTGTCGCAGTCCAAAAATGTGTCCAATCTCATGGGTTAAAGTCTGAAAGACATTTATGTCACTTCTTTATGGCACCACCATCAGCAATTACACAACAGGCTTTTTTTTTTTTAATCCAAGAAACAGATTTACAGGAACCAACACCATTACCACCATCTTCTGCCCAGGTGTTCTATACGTAGCAATGGTCGTTTCATTACTTCCCTTGGACCAGGGTTTCCCCTTTGGGGCAACTGATGTGTTGGCTGGCTGATTCCATGTGTGGGAACCTTCACGAGTGGGTTCTACCCACTAGATGACAGTTTAATGACTTTTTACTTGTGACTGTCAAAATGTGGTGGCACATGGCTGTTGTCCCTGTACTCGGGAGGCTGAGGTAGGATGACAGTAAGTTTGCTTTTAGGCCATTAGGGTCCTAACAGCTCAGACTTTAGGACCCTTCACCCCAGAGACAGATCCAGTAGATCTTGGAGAAGGGGCTTGATTGCATGCTAATGAGCACACAGGAGGCCCTTCAAACATATTTGGAACACATATTTCCACGAAGAGTACCTCTTGAGCACCTACAAATAATCCTGGAGAAAGTAAAACTTCAGGCTAAAGAATAAAAAAAAAAAAGGAATATTTTTCTAAGCAACTTACCTTACAGGATCGCAACAGCAAAATACTAGTGATCTCAGGACTGTAATAGTTATCAAAAATGGAATAGTCATTGGAAGATGTTCGCTGTGCAGTCTTCACTTGGCCTTCGTACTTCGAATTGTGGAAGTCCTTGCCATACCTGGCAAAGCTGAATATCCCCACACCTACAGAGAGAGGACAGGCAATCAATCACCTGGTAAGAAACACCAGGGGAAGACCGGGCAAGTCTGCTCAGACATCCGCTTAGCCCCTGCACATCTGGACTGATTCCCCTGGAACCACTGGAAATACCTAAGAGATTTGCTGACACAAAGAACTTTGGTTCCGGGCTTCCCCGTCAAGATCTCTACTCGCCAATTAGTTTCCCCTGCCCTAGAGAATTCAACACAGGGAGGGGGCCCAGGTCCAGGCCTCTCCCAAGGACCTGCGGGAGGGAAAAGACATCTTCCTCACTGGAGTGGCCATAGCTGAGGTGCTTGTGCTCCTTTAATGACCCCTCATTCATGCTCCTTTAAGTAACCATATGTAAACCTTTTTACATCACCCCCCCCACACACACACACACTGGTGGCAGAGTAGAAGGGGAACTATCTGAGAAGAAGAAAGGAATCAATAGGAGTGGGTGGGGCACCTGAGAGAGGAAGAGGCTGTGGAGGTGAATACAGTCTAAGTACATTACATACATGTGTGAAAAAGTCATAATGAACCCCACTATTACATATAATTAAAATATGCTAATAAGGGGGCTGGAGAGATGGCTCAGCACTTAAGGGCACTTCCAGAGGACAAGGGTTCAAATCCCAGCACTTACATGGCAGCTCACAACTGTCCGTAACTCCAAGATCTGACACTCTCAGACAGACATACATGCAGGCAAAACACCAATACACATAAAATAAGGTAAATAAATTTAAAAAAATTTAAAGATATGCTAATAAAAACATGTTAAGAAAAATCAAAGGATGGTTAAATTCCAGAGAAATTCTAAGTTTCACAGAATTGCTCCTCAAAAATAATCCTCATGAAGCAGAGTATGAGGGTGCACACCTGTAATCCCAGCACTCAAACAGGCAGAAGCAGGTGGGTATCTGTGAGTTCGAGCCCAGCCTGGTCTGTAAAGCGTCCAAAATACCCAAGGCTACACAGAGAAATCCTGTCTTAGGAAAAAAAAAAAACAAAAACAACAACAACAAAATAAACCTTCACTCAGAGATAGTCTAAGTCAAGTTCTCCAAAAGAGCCAAAACAGTGACATGACAGGCAGTCACAATTTGGGCATTAGGAGCACAAGGATAGACCTCTGCCTCACACTTTTGACTTTTCCTAAAGCAGACTCTCTCTTTAGAGAGAAGAGCCTCTTCCCCACCCCCACTTCCTTTTAAAAGAACAGCACAACTCTCTCAAGAGGCTGGTGACAGCTGACCAGGTTAACCCTTGCAACTGACTTCCTGTGTGAGACAGCAGAGGTGTGCCCGCCCACTGTGCCTGAATGGGTAGCATTCAGACTCCTAACTCCTGGCCTAGGGGCTACTCACCATCATGTCACTGTTAATGAGCTGGTGTGTATTGGTTGTTAGGGCTCTGGCCCAGACACTCAAACCCACAAAGCAGTGGTCTCACCTCATGGGTGCTTGTTTCGGTTTGTGTGCTAGGGAGGAAAGTCAGGCCCTAGCCAGGCCAGGCAAGCCTGCTACTAGCAGGCTCATGAAACTTTTATTTGTAAGTAAGGAAACTCATAGTAATTCTGTCCAATTCAACTTGGTTGCCCTCAGGAAGTGCAGTCTGATACTTGAAATTTAGGGAAAGAGTCTTCTAAAAGAGAAAGCAAATCTAATGATGACCCGCTTTGATCCAACAAGTGTGAGCCTACTTCATGCGATCCCTTCAGCCAAAATAATTTATGCTTCTCTGTTGAAAAATAAAGTCTTTGAAGAAAACCAGGCCACTTGTGGTAAAATAAATTCATTTTATGTCAGATCAACGGCTACCCTGACATATGTCATGTAATATGTTTCAAATGGAAAGCACCCCCCCCCCCAAAAAAAACCATTCACATAGGAACAGCCTGGGTAATGTTTCCTGACCCACTCCCCTCAAATGCAAAAAAAATTAATTAATTAGTGGTATTTAGGTCAATGAATAAATTGTGTTGCATTTGTTTTTAATGTTTTCATTTCTTTCATGTTAATAAAAAGGGACATTTGATAAAAACCCACAGCAAGACAGTAACCCAAGACTGCAGAAGGGCATGCTCAGAGTTCCAGTGATTGATGAAGGAGCTGGAGGGATGGCGCTCTAAGGATGAAGATCTAGCCCAGCCCACCTATAACATAAACATCTGTCAGGGGAAGCCCCTGCTCCAGACGCCAGCCCTCTCCAGCCCTCTCTAGCTCTCTCCAGCCCTTGGCTCTCACTCCCCCATCCCTAGGATGCTAAGGCCCACTCCCCAGTTTACTGGTCTCCTTCTTCCCAGCCTGCCTTTGATCGTGTGTGTGTGTGTGTGTGTGTCAAGTTAGACAAAAAAAAAAAAAAAAAAAGAGCAAAAGCTAGGGGAAAAGAAAATAGAGAAATGGGGACAAAAGAGAAAAGAAAAAGAAACTGACCCACTTTCTAGTATTGTCACGCAGTTTCTAATGAGTTACAGTTTATTATGTCCCCAGTCAAGGTTTAGGGTGGCTTCCTTTCCTTTGTTGTCTCTCTCTCTCCTTCCTTCCTTCCTGATGGGTAATTATGCTATACAGCTCAGGCTGGCTTCAAACTTATGATCTTCCTTCCTCTGCCTCCCCAGAACTCACAGGCATGTGCCCCTATGCCCAGCAAGAACTTTATTTTCTTTCTGTTGTTGTTTATGTTTGTTTGGACTGTTTGAACAGGGTATCTGTAACCCAGGTGACCTTAAACTCACTAGGTAGTTGAGGCTCCCCTTAAACTCCTGATCCTCTTGCCTCCACCTCCCAAGTGCTCCAATTATAGGGCTATGCTACCACATGCAGTCCAAAGACGGCTTTCTAGGCAAGCATTCTACCACTGAGCTACACCCTAAGTTTTCTTAAGGAAAAAAATAAATAAATAAAGCCATGTACAGATTGAAAAAGAAAATATGTACTTGTATACTGATATGTGGCTATTCTATCTGTGCTAGATCAAAAGTACAACATCAACCACCAAGGACTAGGGATGCATGTAATTTAGTAGCAGAGCACTTACCTTGAATCAAGCCTGGGTTCAATGACGTCTACTCTGCATGCATGCTCATGCACGTGTGAGCGCGCGCGCGCACACACACAGAATTAGCAAGAAGTTTACATACGTTAATAATAGCTCAAATCTCCATAAGCTGTTTGTCTTACTGACACATGGCTTAGGCTCCCCGTCTGCTGAGTTGATGCCTGTGTATGTACCAGGCATCTCAAGCACTACTTAAAAACAGGAACTGTTACACAAACTATCTCCAAATAACTGTGAGGGAAGTATTTTTCCTTCAAGGTCAGGTAGGGAGTACATGGCCTCATCCTTCATCAGTCTTTCAAAGCACACTTCCCACTACGGCATGCATAGCATCCACTGAAAATACCAGTTTCTAAATATTGAATATCTCCAAAGACTCTCAAGCTGAACAATATCAAAACAGTATCAAAAAGGAATACCATCTGTCAGAGAGGCCTGTCCAAAGACGAAATTCCAGGAGTCCCGTGGGTAAAGATCGATCATTGTAATCCCCACAATGCAGAAGGCATCTCTGGGTTTCTTCTTTTTCAAGAATGCTAGGATACGCCCTATTTAAAAAGAATTCGTATTTAACATATATTGCATACATATGTCCTTTCTGCTATATTCTACTTGCAAAGGTGCTTCACTTACCTGCATGAATTTGTAGGTTTTTTGTGTGCTCATTCACTCTAAAGGGACACTTTGTTGCAGAGACTGAAACTGGTTCTAAGAACTTCACTGTCAAACCATAGAAATATGCTTCACAGTAGCCCTTGAGCCATTTCATATACTCTTCACTGATAATTCTGGTGTTGCCTAGAGAGCCTACAGGATAGGGGAGGGGTGAGGGATTAAGACAGATTTTAAAATGACAGAAATAATTCTTCACACTTAAACTGTCTGGAATTGGAAACAGAATCCACTCTAAAACCTAAGTACGTCTTAATCAGTCATTGACAACAACTGGAAGCCAAAAGATAAGAATTTCACTGTTAAGTCAGTTTGGCTACAAACTGGCTACAAACTCCTACCAATGGACTGGTGTCAATAGCTATCATTCACATGGCCAACAAGATGGCTCAGCAGGGAAAGGTGCTTGCTGTACAAACCTGACAATCTCACCGGAAACAGAGGACCAACTCTACAAAAGCTTTTCTTTGCCATGTTCTCAATATAGCATGTGTGGCCCTTCCCACACCATACACACAATATTTTTAATTGTCACATATAATACCTAGCATGCACAGAGCCCTGGATTCAACTCCTAGCACTATAGGTGGAAGGGGGGAGGGGCATTAAAATTGCTCGATTGAATTAGGTCACCGGCCCAATTCTCAAAGTATCTCTAGCAAAGACAGCACAGGAGAGTTAAGCCCAAGCCCTCATATTCCCAGCACATACCAATGGGCTGTATATAGATAATGTGTTTCTCTGGAGAGGGTTCCTTTCTACAGGGATTACTGAAAAACTCTTCGAAGTCTTGGGGCACCTCAGGATGGGAGCTGATCCAATCTGACCGTGAATGCACAGTAATGGGTCCAAACAGATTACTGGATGGCTGGAAGGCTTCATTCATTAAACGCTGCTCCCCAGCAGCTAACTGCTCATACTCTGACACAAGCACTGGGTTCTTTGAGAGTAGAGCTGTTTTCAATGTGTGCTCAGAGTGCCGTAGGATCTGCATCTGCCAAAAGAGAAGGAAGACACACACACACACACACACACACAAGAAGACAGAGAACATTTTACTCATACATACCAAGGACTTCCTGTTCTTAAAATACATCTCATTTCTCTTGAGAATAAATGACCTGTTGCTAGTGTATTCAAAAATCACACTGAAGAGAAGTTTCCCCATATCCAATCACTTTACTGGGGAAGAGTAATCAGGAATTAAAAGGGAAGTAATTAAATCTACCATCTCCTATAGAACCTGTTGCTTCCACCTTAAAAGCTATTGGTAGGTTGGGCATGCTAGGGACACCTGTAAACCTAGCATTCGGGAGACAGAGGAAGGGGATTGTCTCAAAAACAGTAAAAACCACGACAAAAAAAAAAAGGCCTAGCTTGATGTCCAAAGTCATCCTCTGTCAATGATCACAATATTCTGAGTTGACTCACTCTGGCCACATGAGCAACTCATCCCTTCCAGTGTTACTCAGGGATACTCAATAATAATAAACAGAAAAGCAACCTAAGCGCCCGAATCTGTACTTTAACTGAAGGTTGGCAACATACACCTCAGGCCCTTAAGCTTATCATGTCAGGCACAAAACACTGGGGAAGCCCTGCGATGACTAACCTCTGAGACGCCAGACTCACAGTGCCGGTGAGGGGCCTTTTCCCTTCATGTCCCTATGTGGCGCTTTCATCCTTCCACTGAACACCAAGGAGATGTTCCACCATGAGGCTTTTAGAGTCAGCAAAGAAAAAAGACGATGATTTCTGTCCAGCCAGTCTGTGTTTTCTAACTAACTGAGGGCTTTTCAGTTTTTTGGTTTGTTTGTTTGGTTGGTTGGTTAGTGTTTTCTCAAGACAGGGTTTCTGTATTTTTCAGTTTATTAACAACTGACTTTGATGTTTAAGCTAACGACTGTGTTCACTTAACATCTGAATCCTGGAGCTCAGGAGGGTGGCGGCACAGGCTAAAAAGGTCTCTATAGACTAAGTTGAGAGTGTAGGCCATCCTCATTACCACACATCTGGGCCGAAACTTTAGTTTTACAGCTTGAAAACAAAAGCAAAACCGTGGCCCCCTGTAGTCTACCTACCTTTTTACAGGAGAAATCTCCAGCTGCTATTTCCCCACTTAAGTTTTTCTAAGGACAGACATGTCTGGCAAAGGGCTGTGGAGGGCGCCTTCACCCTAATAAAGACAGAGTGGAAGGTCAGAAGGCCTCCCATGCCCAGCTCATCCTAGTCCAGTGTGGTTAGTGACACTGAAGTGTGTAGGGAGGGATCGTAGAGTCACGGCACGGGGCCTAGGACGCTTCGGTTCTAAAACCGGAATATCCCACGCAAACTCGGTCTCGCCAGACATGCTAGCTGGTTGCTCTTAGCAACTTGCACTTCGGGCTCGACCGGTGCAGACGCCAGCCAGTCTCCTCTCCGGTGAGTGAATAGGGTCCTCCCCCGGAACTCAGGGTTTGCCTCTTCTCCCCGGGGAGCAACCGGAAAGGCCGCAGTCGTTCCCAGGAGACATCCCGCCCCCGAGGTCCCCTCTGCTTCCGCCGCAACCATCCCTCCCACATCCGTCCCTCCCCAGGGATCAAGACCTCCCTTCTCCTCCCCCGCCCGGCCCCGACGGTTCCATCCCACCATCTTCACCGGGACAGGCCCCTACGCCTCCCTCCACGGCCCACGGCGGTTCCAGCGCGCATGCGCCTCGCGCCGACGCACCTCACCCAGGCACGCAAGTCCCGCTGACCCCGCCCCTCTCCCCCAGAGTTCCCGCCCATCTGTCCTAGCTCCTCCCCTGGAGGCGTGGCCCCTCCCATTTCACAGTACTCGCGCGGTGTGGCGCCGATTACGGCTCTCAGGGTGAACTGTAACAAGGGGGCGATGTAGTGCCAGACAGCCGCCCCCCATCGTCGCCGTTTCCCGCCGGCCCTCGCGGGGGCGCCGCGGCCCGCTCCTCGTGGGCGGTGCAGGGTCACGGGGCCACCTGTCGGAGATGCTCAGTGGCCCGTGGCTTGAGCCCGAGTAATTTAACCACCGGGTACAAATAAGTCAGCCGTGTCCGCGGCTTGACACATCACCCGCTGGACTTTCCCTTCTTGGTTGGTCTCCGCCACTGTTGTGGCCTCACCAGCTGTCAGGAAGCAGGGCTGCGCCCCACAGAGTGGGGCCTAGGGTAGCCTTATGTCTTTGGGGAACTAAGAGCCTAGAACTTGTACCCCCAGGAGCCTTAGGAGGGGAAGCGCCAGCACCCAGGATCTCCTGATCCCTGCCCCCCAACATATACCTTCATGGATGCCTGGGTGCTTCAGGTACCGTGGACAGTGAGACCAGGGGATGCCACTACTTTGTCGCCATCCTCTCATCCTTGGAAGTTAAGGACCCCATGCCCCACATCTCTGTACCCTTCCTCCTGCCCAACCCCCAAGCCTTCTGCGCTCCTGTTGCCTTGTGCGTACTGCTCTAATTATCCTCGTCGCAGCTATCATAACAAGGTTCATACGTGGTGTCCTTACCCAGCCAAACTGCCCTTACCCAGTTAACAAAACTGTTTGTTTTGGGAGGGTCTTGCGTGGGCCAGGCTGGCCTTGAACTCACTGTAACAGCAGAAGGTGACCAAGGGGCCTGTCTCTGACTTCCAAGCCCTGGAATTACAGTATGAGCCACCAGGCCTATCTATTTATTTTTAAATCATTTAAGGCCAGGTGTTCTGGTACACACCTGTTATTCCAGCTCTTGCAAAGCAAAGGCAGAAGGATCTTTAAACTGGAGGCCAGTCTGGTCTATACAGCAAGTAGCAGGCCAGCCTGGGCAATAAAGTAAGGCTTCCCAGGAGAGTGGTGAGAACAAGTTTTCAAAACCCTTTATCTAGCTGGGCAGGGATGGCATACCTCCTAGAACTCTGGAAGCAGGCGAATCTCTTGAGCTTGAGGATAGCCTGGGCTACATAAGAGAAACACTGTCTTGGAAAAAAAATAATTTTAACCTCTAGAGTCCTCACTTGAGAACATTTTCATTGCATCATTTCATTCTATCTCCTCCAACTTTTAAAAAAATATGCTTTCAGATAATGTACTTTGTTCGTATTTCCCCACGATCCTCTCTGATCCTTTTCTTTCTCCCCCCCCCCAATTATTTTTCCTCCTGAGCCATTTTTGAAACAATTGTCAGTGTGATGCCCCTGTGCTTCTAAAGCCTCCAGGGCATATTTCCAAACAAGCAGATTTTACGTAAGTAGTCACAGGATGCCTGTACTGGGAATTTCCTTCCAATCTTTCTGATTCCTGTCTCACACCACAGGCTAACCGCTTTCCATTTCTCCACGTGTACTACTCCTTCCCTAGTAATGAAAAGTCTGTCTCCATTATTCATAATTTACTTCTGCATTTAACTGCTCCGTGGTACAATACGCACTGAGAGTAATTTCACAATAACTAATCCATATCACTGCAGACAATAGTCCTGCCAGTAGGCAGAAATTATTCATGGTTCTGTATAGGCAGAGGTTACATAGCATGCTGTGGAGCTGACATCACCTGGGTGAATCCTTCCCAATCCCTGCCTGCATCACATCTGACCCTGAACTTGCTAAGTAGCCTAGGCTGGCCCAGACTCACAACGATCCCCTTGCCTCGGCCTCTTGGATGACAGGATCACAGTATGTGTCATCATACCCATTTTTAAATGTGTTGACTCTTTTTACTATTGTTATCGCATGATATGTCAACACAGTTATTTTAAAAGTTTCGTTTGGCAGGGCAATGGGGGTGCACTCTTTAATCCCAGTGCTCCGGAGGCAGAGGCAGGCAGATCTCTGATTTTGGGGCCAGCCTGGTCTACAAAGTGAGTCTAGAACAGCCAGAGCTGTCACACAAAGAAACCCTGTCCCAAAACAACAACAACAAAAGTAGCATTTGGCCAGGTACCGTGGCCCATGTTTTCCAACCCAGCTCTGCAGCCCGCAGAGTCAGTCAGAGATCAGGTCTAGAATCACTTTTGAAACACATCTCTGAGCATGTCTGCGAGGGAGTTTCTTGATTAAGTGAGGTGGGAAGACCCAACCTAAATGTGGGCTGGACAATCACATGGTTGTGGGCCAAGACAAACTCCAGCATTGGTCTCTGCTCCCTGACTGTGGACACACAACGTGGCTAGCTCTCTCTGGCTTAAGCTGCCACACCTTCCCCACCATAGTAGGCATTTCGTCCCCTAGAGTTGTAAGCCCAGATAAGTTTTTCCTTAAGTCTCCACTCATCAGGCAATTGGTCACAGTAGTGAGAGACTTGACTGGTAGCGGAAGTGACTAGAGGATGGTAAGCGGAGGCCCCAAGAATCGTATTCCTGACACTATGAGACAGACTCCAGACAGCGGCATATTACCTATGAACCAAGAAGTGGAGCTGACAGACAGCATATACCAGTACATTGACCTAGGGTTCCCCAATTTCCAGAACTGTGAGAAACAAACCTCTCTTGTCAGTAAGCCATCCAGCCCGTGATATTTTGTCACAGTAGCTCAAAACCACAAAGACACTTCCTGTCTTGTTTTACCGATTGAATGTCTTATCTCTCTTTGAACATGGACCCTGTTGACTTTGTAATTTTGTTCTTCCATGTCCTGCTTGTGTCGTCTTATAGGCATGTAGAGAGGCTTGTCACTCTTGTAAGATATCATTTGGAGTTAGAAAAGGCTGGTGAAGGAGTCCGTGTGCAGGGTTCTCCGAGGCAAGCTGGCAAAGGGCCAGCTCATCCCCTGAGAGGGGGCCCCAGAGTGGGAATGTGGGAATGGCTTCCCTGTGGCCATCCTGGGTTTCCCAGGAAAGAGTAATTTGCCAACTGACTATGTTCTAAAAATGGCATGCAGTTAACTGCCTGGGAACTCCACAAATGTGGACAAAAGTCTGAATTTTCTTTCTGTTTTAAAATATTTATGTTTGTGAGTGTACGTGTGTGTGTGTGTGTGTGTGTGTGTGTGTGTGTGTGTGTGCAGGTGCCTATTGAAGCCAAAAGAGGGCGCCCAATCTCATGGCGCTGGAGTTACAGGCGGTTGTGAACTGGTTGCTCTAGGTGCCTGGAACCAAACTTGCATCCTTCAGAATGTCACTCCACACGCTGGACTGCTGAGCCATCTCTCCAGACTCTTGCCTCCATACTTTCTATCTGTATTCTGCAGCGCAGTTTTCAAGTCCCACAGCCAACACATTTTATGGTTTGTTGTTGTTGTTGTTCTTTGAGCCAGTCTCAGACTGGCCTGGAACTTACTAGAAAGCCCTGGTGAGCCTTGAGCTCAAGGCAGTTCTCCTGGCTAGCCCGTCCTTGTACGGGGGTTACAGGCACATATCACCACACTCAGCTGGCTAGCCTGTCTTTACATGAGGAGGGTTAAGAGGTTCTCAGCCATTCACTCCCTAGTATGAATTCATGCCTGCTATGTCTTTTTCTCTGGCCTTCAGCTGATATCCACCGCCCTGGAGGAAATGCAAGTGTGCTTGGTCAGGAAGCAGGAACAAGTGTGTAATTTAGGGTTACAGACTACACAAGCCCGGCAACAAGCCTGGAGGTGGGTCCAGCAGGTAAAGGGGAGGATGCTGCAAGGCAGGAAATGGACCCTGGCACTATATACAACAGGGAGGTGAGAAGATAGCAAATAATCATTTGATAAAAATTAATCTGAAGCTGTTTCCATTATGCTTAAAGCAAAGGCCATGTATAAAGGAACAGGCATTGACTGTCTTCTCTCTCCACTGCAGAGAACCTGCACTCTGAGGCCTAGAACTCACAGCCCCTGGGGGCCAAACAGCATCATGCAGAGAAACCATGGGACCCAGCACAGCACACTTTTTGTTCCAAACAGCTAACTGACAGCTAATGTCTTGGACCACGTCCTGCTTGCAAACCGAGGCCAGATTCTTCCATAATGGACTAGCTCTTGAGAGGGCCCAGGGAGAGAGAGGGGCCATTAGCAAAAATGAAAAGCAAAGATATCTTTTAGTCCATTAAGTTAAAAGAGGATTTTTCTCTCCTTTATTATTTATGACTTGTGACTTAAGTTACTGTTTCTCGGAACAAGTGCTATGGTTCTGCTTCAGCTTTGTTTACTGGAGCTAAATAGATGATTATCAGCAGGCAAGCTACAGATTGCTAAGCAGTCAGGGAGCCCTTCAGGGCTGTGGCCTCTTATCATCCTTTGATGTCTTAGGAAGCAGGTTATTTTCTGTGCCTCTGACAGTTTCTAAAACCTGCCACCATCTGATGTGTGTACGTCCAGACACACATGCACACGTTTGTAATCACTCTATAAAATCAGGAGCGTATACACATTAACTGCACATGAATACAGTAATCCCAAATTGAAAAGAAGGTGAGCCTTTAGTTTATACTTTAAGCAAGTCACCTCCCTAGACTGAGACAGAAGGAGGCTGAGGTTAGTCTGAGCTACACAGCAAGTTCAAGGCTGTCTGGCAAGACCCTTGCCCCCTGAAACAAAACAAACAGAAGCAAAGAAAAAATTAGTGGTTTGATGTACGGACGGGTGAGGGGAGCAAGTTTCAGGGCAGTGGTCCCTGTGACCACTGGAGGATGCCCATAATTTCCCCCAATGACTTCCGCAGCTGCGGCTCAGAGTGACGGCACAGAGTCCCGTGCTCTACAACTCCTTCCGAGGTTCAGTGTCTCGTTTGGGTTCCCTTTTTTTCAGTCTCTAAGGAGAGTT